ATTTTGTCTTTTTTTCCTCTTCCTTAATGTTTATGTTGGACTCTGCTGGTGCCGAAAACTCAATTACGCTCATGGTTTTTAGTTGGTGATCAATAAGCACCATATCGGGCTTGTTAGCCTGAATTCGATGGAGGGTTGGGAACGGGTAATTCCAATATATCCTGGCTCTTTCATTTTCGACAACAGACTCCATATCCATTTGAGCGTATGGTAGTAGTGGTGCCTCATCTATACCGTAGAAGTGCCTCAGGTGATAGTATAGCACTTTTAAAGCCGCATCATGGCGATGGATATAATTAGTGCTAGCATAGGTCTGGCAAGCTGATAGAAGGTGCATAACAGTTTCGGGTGCTCTATGACAAGCTCTGCAACTTACGTCTATCAAATTTATACCCATCACTTCTCTACGATATACTAAAGTGTTATAAACACCATCTTGCACCGCCACAATAAATCCTTCCGTTTCGGACTTAAGTCCACTAGACCTTAAGAAAGCAAAGGTTAGTTTCTTGGACAGCCCGCGATCCTCAATGTTCTTGTAGAAGATGCTATGCATGGGCTTATCCATATGAATGCGAAGGTTAGTGTCACATTCAGCTTTCTTTATATGCGACTTAAGTCGAGTAGGTTCAAGCTCTGTTGTGGAGTTTCGATTTGCTCGTCCTGAATCAAAAGCGAGTCCTAGATGTTCAGAAGCTCGACGAGCTGCTCTAAATAGAAATGATCCTACTCCTTGCTCCTCATGGATTTTAACTATTTGGAGAAGCGGGTCCTGGCTCCTAATAACCTTGCAGGCCGCACTTAGTACCATTCTATCGTGCATACACTCCAAACTTAATAGCCCTCGGCCTCCCAGATGACGGGGAACATAAAGCCTAGGGACGGACGATTTGGGATGTAGACTGCGGTTCATATTTAGCATCTTTCTTGTCCCTCTGTCGAGATTTTTCAGCTCATCAACCGTGTACTTGACTACTCCGAATGAATAGAGTAAAATAGGCACGGCAAGCATATTGGTTGCGCCTACTTTATTTTTGCCTGACAGTTCTGATGACCATATCTGTCGAAGCAAGCGTCTGTACCGGCCTCGGAGAGACTCTTTTACTTGTTGTGACGCTTGGATATGGTGTTGATCCACACCCAAGTATTTATAAGTCTCTCCGATATCCAGATGCCTAAGGATATTTGCATCTACCGGCTGAGCATCATCTTCAAAATTTAAGCAGCGTCCTCTCTTAAGATGAACAAGAGCACATTTGTCGAGCCCAAATTCCATACCAATTGCCCTCGTATATTCCTGAACCATTCTGATAGAGATTTGAATGTCCTTTTCCCCAGAGGCATATATTTTAAGGTCGTCGAAATAGAAAAGATGTGTGATCTTATGTCTCCGGTCTCCAGGAGGTCCACAGTGATATCCCCTGGTATTACGAAGGGCGACAGATAACGGTAATAATGAGATGCAAAATAGTAGCGGACTTAAGGAGTCGCCTTGAAATACCCCCCTTTTGATTGTGACTACTCCAGTTTGCATTGTGCCTTCTCCGGTTGTTATGGCGAAGCGTGTTTGCCAAAGTGTCATCAGGTGTTCAATGCATCTTATAAGGGGGCCTGGAACCGCAAGCATTTGGAGCAGATGAATAATTAGCTCATGGGAAGTGGTATCAAAAGCTTTACGGTAATCAATCCAGGCCATGGACAGGTTGCGTTTGTATTGGACAGAGTCTTGGGTGACCGATCTGTCAATCAGTAAATTTTCCTTACAGCCTTCCATTCCCTTCTTGCATCACCTCTGTTCGCCAATCTGATGGTAGGTTGGACCTATTGCCTGAAGTAAACGCGTGTATATAATGCGTGTGAAAAGTTTATAGCATGTGTTCAGGCACGTAATAGGCCGATAGTTTTTAGGCAAAGACAAATCCCCGTTCTTCGGGATAAGCACTGTTCGACCCTCAACAACCCAATTAGGAATCGGCTGCTCTCCGTTTAGCCATGATGTGAAAATTCTGGCCAGATGTGGATGTGTGCATCTAAACTTTTTCCACCAGAAGTTATTGATACCGTCTGGCCCTGGAGCAGCATAGTTCTTTGCACCTTTAAGGGCAATCCGAACCTCTTCTGGAGTAATAGGATTTTGCTCTTGATCCGGATTAGGAGTTCTTCGGCAAAAGGACTCAAATAGCGACAGGGCTGGAGTGTCTGTGTCTAGCGGCTTCACCTCTTCGTAGATATCCCTCCAGAAGTTTTCAACATCTTGAGCATTAGGCGGATTTTCTGGGACAGTACTGGCTGGTTGAAATAGCCTTGATGGACATCTGGCGAATTGGATGTTCTGCAAAGTCCACCGAGATCTCTTCTCTAGTTTTTGCTTAACTACTGTAAGCATTCTTATCCTGTCCAAGCAGTGCTGTTTCGTGGTATTTAGCACTCCTTCATTCAGTGTATGGTGGTTTCGGCGTAGTTGTCGAGCTATTTGCCGGACTTTTGGTGTAAAAGGCCGACTAGTTTTATTATATTCCAAAACACACTGAACTCTAGAGACATACTGCCTGGCTGACTTGATCTTAGTTTGTACCTTTTTTATTATTATTATTATTATTATTATTATTATTATTATTATTATTATTATTATTATTATTATTATTATTATTATTATTATTATTATTATTATTATTATTATTATTATTATTATTATTATTATTATTATTATTATTATTATTATTATTATTATTATTATTATTATTATTATTATTATTATTATTATTATTATTATTATTATTATTATTATTATTATTATTATTATTATTATTATTATTATTATTATTATTATTATTATTATTATTATTATTATTATTATTATTATTATTATTATTATTATTATTATTATTATTATTATTATTATTATTATTATTATTATTATTATTATTATTATTATTATTATTATTATTATTATTATTATTATTATTATTATTATTATTATTATTATTATTATTATTATTATTATTATTATTATTATTATTATTATTATTATTATTATTATTATTATTATTATTATTATTATTATTATTATTATTATTATTATTATTATTATTATTATTATTATTATTATTATTATTATTATTATTATTATTATTATTATTATTATTATTATTATTATTATTATTATTATTATTATTATTATTATTATTATTATTATTATTATTATTATTATTATTATTATTATTATTATTATTATTATTATTATTATTATTATTATTATTATTATTATTATTATTATTATTATTATTATTATTATTATTATTATTATTATTATTATTATTATTATTATTATTATTATTATTATTATTATTATTATTATTATTATTATTATTATTATTATTATTATTATTATTATTATTATTATTATTATTATTATTATTATTATTATTATTATTATTATTATTATTATTATTATTATTATTATTATTATTATTATTATTATTATTATTATTATTATTATTATTATTATTATTATTATTATTATTATTATTATTATTATTATTATTATTATTATTATTATTATTATTATTATTATTATTATTATTATTATTATTATTACTATAATGGTAATGTTTTTATTTTGACATTATTTAACATATTCTTCAATGACAACTTATTAGGCTTAGGCAACATCTCATACATTTTCTCGTAAATACCTGCCTATGTTTTATTATTGATTTTTATTGATTATACTACTGTTTTTAGCTGAAGAAATAAAAATATATATTAATAATAAAAGATTTTTTTCACTTGTTCTACAAATCCATATACTTTTATTAAAATCAACAAATATATTTTTTAATTACGAATTCTATTAAAAATTGTATTGTCAGTATACGTAAATATCATCCGTTAGTTCACAAAAAAAGTTTGCGCTGCTGTCACGTACGGAACGAATAATGAATGAAAATAGGCTGACTGGGCTATGCATGATGAGCGTACATCGAAAAATAATCAAAGAAAACAAAAAACAAATTAGGTTTTCTGTTATCGATGTTTTTGG